GTGTCCGTGCTATGTGTGTGTCCATGTGTGTGTGTGTGTGTGTCCGTGCTGTGTGTGTGTCCGTGCTATGTGTGTGTCCATGCTGTGTGTGTGTGTGTGTCCGTGCTGTGTGTGTGTGTGTGTCCGTGTGCCTTGCCTGGCCTCCCACTCACAGAACATCGCCTTGTACTCTCTCTGGAACAGGCTTCGAATCGCCACAAGCCTAATTGGATAAGTGACCACTGATAATGGACGGGCGAAGCCTTCATTAAGAGAGCCAGACCTTCCCCCCAGTGCTTTTCTCCATTCTCTGTGGCGGGTCCAATCACAGGCATTGTTTAAAAGAGAGCACATTTTCCCTGCTGCCTCCTGGAGATTTGGCCAGCAAAGCGCAGAGCATTGATTTCCTTACCGTTTCACGTCACCATGTGCTAGAAAAACAGACAGAGGTTTCTGAATGCACAAACTGAACCCTCTAAGTACAAACTGTGCTTCATGACAGTAATGTGCATCTTTACGGAGAACCAGAAAATAACCACATTACCCTAAACACTTTTAATAAACCCAATACATCTGAGAGTATATGACTATAAACAAACTGTCCTCCTCTGCTGAGGGCTGTTTCAAACCCACGACAGTGCTCACTTTGGGCTTAAATCCCAAACCAAATTAAGTCCTTGAACAACTTGGCAATCAGGAAAACCAACGGTGTTTGGAGGACTTTTAACAATAAAAATAAAAATAATGGTTCTGAGGATAGGATGCTTGTTGTAAGAATCGCTAAAGGGTGATTTTACCTCCTTAGGTGCCGAAGAGCTTTGTATTTATGTATTTAAAAAAATAACTAAATAATTGTAACCTTAAGGTGCAGTGTTTTCTGGAAGTCAGCTAAGAAGATATCTGCATTAGTTCTCCTCCCCCAAATTCTTTTTTTTTGCTCATAGCAATATTCAGGAAATGTTTACTTCCTTCCTTAATATAACGATTATGACTTCATTTTCTCATTGTGTACTTTAGTACAAAAGACAAAACCGGGACCTGGGCAAGACCAAACAGCGGATCATGGAGATTGCCAACTATGTTGATAAGGTACCCCCGACACCCCCTGCCTCATGGTATCTTCCAAAGCCTGTTAGTTGCTCTCATAAATTTAATGACATTTTTCCTTAATACGGGAAACTTTTCATTCAAATGTACCGTTATTTATGAGAGTAGTTTATTAAAATGAAGCTTCTGTTTGCATGTTTATTGAGAAATTGTTCACATTTCTCATCATTACAATGATTCATATGTTATAATTCATTCATATCATATTAATATGCTAAATATTTACTGTAGAGAGGTAAATCAGGGTATAACAGAGACATTTACCTGACTGTCATAATTACATATTCTTTACACACTGAGAGCTTAGTCCAACTCTACAGGGTCATATAAAATACCACCCCCCCCCGCCCCCCCTAGAGCAGGAGCATTTTTACTTTCAAACCACGGTGTCTGTGTTTGCAGCAAGCAGTCGATTTTCTAAGGGGAGCGGAGGACCCCAAAGTCACTTTTTACTTTTTAGGTAGGTCTCCAGAAATAACAAGGTCATATAAATTCCATCCCCCCCCCCCCAGTTCTACAGGGCCCTTAACATCCGGGTGCCCCTCATCGGCCTGGAGGTGTGGACAGACCGGGACCAGTGCATCGTCAGCGAGGAGCCCAACGCCACACTCTGGTCCTTCCTACAGTGGCGGCAGAAGCTTAAGTCCCGCAAGAAGCATGACAACGCACAGCTGCTGACGTGAGACCCCCCCCTCGCAGGTCGACTGGCTGCCTCACATCACAGGACCACTTTAGGGGGAGGGGGGCAGAGAAGGAGGGAAATGGGGGCTCTCCATTGGACCGACTATACAACATCACATCAGCTTTACGGCGTTTATGATAAACGCCAAGTGGCCTGGCGATGTTCACCGGGATCGCTAATGGAGTTAGCGACCAAATAAAAAATCCCTCTCTGTGTCCCCCCCCCCAAACCATAACCCCCGAGACCTCCCCAATAAAGATGCCCCCGGTTGTTTTCTGCCTCGTAGGGGAGTCATCTTCAAAGGCACCACCATCGGAATGGCGCCCCTGGAAGGAATGTGCAGCCATGAGAACTCCGGAGGAATCAACGTGGTACGTTCGCCTTGGGTGGCCCGGGGGGGGGGTGGTTACACGGATCGATACGGGTGCCTCGGCCTTGCTTGATTAGCTTCTGATGGCCTCTGCTAGTGCTGTGGCATTGATGGGCGGGTTCTGCCAGTGGCTCCGGCCTCCGTGGCCCGTCTCTCGGCTCGCAGGGAGAGATGATGATTGATCGAGCATCAATGGCTCTGCTGTGAAAAATGAAAGAGTGGGAGTTCAGGCTGCTGCCCACCCCCCCCCCCCCCCATGAGCTTAGTAGTGGTACAATACTGTGTTCAATAATAGTTTGATGATTATTAATCATGGATTATTAATATTACGGCTTGCGGGCCTTTCTGGTTGATTCTGCAGCTGGGCTTAAACATATTGGGCTGTGAAATGTAACGGAACCTTGTCCACTTCTCCTCCAGGACCACTCCGAGCTGCCCATTGGGGCAGCAGCCACCATGGCCCACGAAATCGGCCACAACTTCGGCATGAGCCACGACAACGAGGGCTGCTGCGTGGAGGCCACTCCAGAGCAGGGGGGCTGCGTAATGGCCGCTGCCACCGGGTGAGCATGCAATGCATCTGAGCCAAGATGCCGTCTGCCTCTGAGAGCCAAAATGGTGTTTGCCACTTAGAGCCAAAATGGCACCCACTGGAGAGTTTCTTTTTTTTCACTGTGTATTGAACCTGGCTGAGATGACAGAAAAGCTTTACTGACACAAGTCCCTAACCCCCCTATGTCTGCGGCCCTCCCCCCAGGCACCCGTTCCCCAGGGTCTTCAGTCGCTGCAGCAAGAGAGACCTGGAAAACTACTTCCAGAAAGGTGGGGGCATGTGCCTGTACAACATGCCCAACATGAAGGACTTGGTGGGGGGCCGGCGGTGTGGGAACGGCTTCGTCGAGGAGGGAGAGGAGTGCGACTGCGGAGAGCAGGAGGTGAGGGGCCGCGCGGTCACAAGTGTCACCCGGGTGCGAGCCGCTCACCATGCTCGTCATGCCCGCCAGTACCGTGCGGGTTCACTCCGAGCTTTAATTGCCGGTTCTCATCTCTCGACTTCCACATCAGGTTGAAACATCCGTGCTTCCGAAAAGCTCCATGGCAACCATGCCTGTTGTTTCAGTTCCCGCCCGCCGCCCTGTTGGGTTCATGCTCCAGCGTTGGGGTGGGGGCAGGGGGGCTTGGTGGTGATCCGTTAATGGAGCTGTGGGAGTGCGAGGGGTGCATACAGCACTCTAATGGAAGGCGACGCGGGGGTGATTGTGTTTGCCCACAGGAGTGCACCAACCCCTGCTGCCATGCCACCAACTGCACACTGAAGGAGGACGCGCAGTGTGCTCACGGGGTCTGCTGCGAGGACTGCAAGGTATAACCCCCCCCCATCCAGGCCACACCCACCACAGCCACGCCCATTGTGACCCCACCCACCAGGGCCACCTACCTCACAGCATAGTCAGACCATTGTGCATCTTACTGTCACTGAGTGAGATTTTATCCACTAATCCAATAATATGCAAGTAGTATTACGCTGTTTGCTGCGCACTGCAGAGTTCTTTACCCAGATTATTACAGAAAACATGCAGTTCAATTTTCAACCATTTTCCGGTGCTTCTTCTATGCATGGAAGCACAGGGCATGAGGAAGGGACACCATGGATGGCCCAGTCTGTCTCTAGGCACAGACACACCCAAACACCACATGCTACAACCGTTAAAGTGTGTGGCTCCACTGTGCCACCTTTAGTAATAATGGACTGAAGTCAGTTAATCATTATGTGGTGCCATATTTTTTTATAGTGTTTCATTAAGACTTTATTTCGCCCTCGGTCTGCACACAGCTGAAACAGGCAGGGACCATGTGCCGCGGCCCGGCCGGGTCATGTGACCTGCCTGAGTACTGTACGGGGGCGTCTCCCTACTGCCCCTCCAATGTCTACCTGCTGGACGGCTCCACCTGCCAAGGAGGCCACGCCTACTGCTACAACGGCATGTGCCTGACACACGAGCAGCAGTGCCTTCAGCTCTGGGGATACGGTAAGCCCCTCCCACCAGGCGGGGGCACTGCGGGGTGCGGGAGGAACCAGCAGACACGGGTCTCGCATGTGTACATCGAAGCCGAAACGCGGACACGAACATACGTGCACCGGCATTCTCAGTCACGTGCCCTGACACGCACGGACACGAACAAAGACGCACATCATAACATACACACGTGGAATCACTCGTTAAGAAGCATCAGGATCCTTCCTGGCTTCCCCATGTCACGTCTCACATGAGTCGTCTATTCATTTCATATTCTGTCTTTTTTCTGTTTTGTAATGTCGTTATGAATGTCCGTACACCTCCCTCGGCATTTTTTAATCTGCCCTCAGTGGGTCTGGTAATGAAGTAATGCATCACATCACAACCGCCCCAGCGCTCAGACCTCGCTGATGCGGCCATTCTCTCCTGGCGCAGGTGCCCGCCCTGCCCATGACGCCTGCTTCCAGGACGTGAACGCCGCAGGGAATGCCTTCGGAAACTGCGGCAAGGATGGGCAGGGCAACTACGTGAAATGTGAGAAGAGGTAAAGGAGGGGCAGGGCAACTACGTGAAATGTAGGAAGAGGTAAAGGAGGGGCAGGGCAACTACGTGAAATGTGAGGAGAGGCAAAGGAGGGGCAGGACAACTACGTGAAATGTGAGAAGAGGTAAAGAGGAGAGCTGCCCCGCCCCCACTCCCCCACATCACTAGCCTGTTTGATTACAGCTCCCAGAGGAGCCCTGACACCACTTGGAAGATCACCTCCCTATAATGTATGGATTTGTTGCCATGGCACTGTGCTGAGGTGAAAAGAGAATTCCGGAAAGAATTCTGTTCGCGTAAAATCTCATGCTTCGCCGGGCAGGCTTATGGCTTACAGGAGATATTTGTCATAGTTTGGAGGTGCAATATTGGTTGTAAAAATATCACAACATCGATCGAGTGGTAGTCTTACCTTTCCAGTCCTAAATGATGTCGTTCCTTTACCATGGGTTTAAAATAGGGAGGAATGTATTAATGTCTTTTCGGAGTAGGACTGCGGCTAAGTTTGGCTCCAACCCCAGCTGACCAAACAATGATCTGATCTATGCATTTCCCCGCAAAAGTGACGCCAAGTGCGGCAAGATCCAGTGCCACAGTGCCGCCAAGAAGCCCAAAGGAACTAACGCCGTGCCCATCGACACCACCATCCGCACCGACGGCATAGAGGTCAAATGCAGGGGGACCTTTGTGTACAGCACCCAGGATGGCCAGGGGGACCTGCCTGACCCAGGGCTCGTCATGACGGGCACCAAATGTGGAGAGGGCAAGGCACGCACATTTGCATGTTCTTTTGTCCTCTTTTATGTCACTGCAGCATGTCACATAGACAGGGGACACTTTGGATGTGTCACCTGAATCCATTGCAGGGCACATGTTCACACACAGGATGTCTGTGTGCCGTTTCATGTTTTTGGATTGTAGGAGTGGAAAATGTGCGTTAAAAGGGATTGTAAATGGCTTACAAAGTACTTTTAGGCAGGCACATGCTGGGGGGGGTGCTGAGGATGCCTGAACATCTGCCACTTTTGATCAAAAACACCTCCCTTTTGAGGTAGGGCGCCCATTTCCGATATCTGATGATCACGGATAATTCACCAGGTGGGACCTCCCCTCTATTGCCAAAATTCATCAAGTGGGTTGAGCACCTGCCCCTTGAATAGTCTGTAGACAGACGGACCCATGTTACCCAGAATGCAATGTAGTCTCCCTGTTGCTAGCAAGCTGGTGAGTGTGTGCAGTATGTGAACACTCACCCCTCCTCTCACACCCTTTGTGTTTCAGGTGTGCCGTGACCGCCGTTGCCAAAATGCATCCTTCGTCGAGCTGGAGGCCTGCATCGCGCGCTGCCACAGCCGTGGGGTAAGCAGCCAAGACACTAGGGGGCAGTAGATCTGCATTTCAAGTCTGAGGAAGTCATTTAGCTAGTGAGCTACTGAGATCTGTTCTGTTCGCATGCTAATCTGGAAATATCAAAACGTTTGAAACTTAACTGGCTCATTTTAACGTTACTTTGTTATTAATTTGTACTTTTTTGTCAACATGATACAAATTTCATTTGTATGTAAATGATAAAGATTCTTAAAAACGCTTCGCTCATGTGCTGATTAATGGGTCAGCCTTAGATCTGCAGTCAACCTATGAGTTTTTTTTAGGGGGAAATGAAATTCCAGCTTAAATTCCAACTGTATCACAAGCATGCAGACCTCATAAATAAAGAGGGTTGTGTTTGCCCTCGGTCGCTAAAGATGATCTCATTGACTCGATTATGGCGTGCCATTCATACTGCTTATCAAGCCTGCCTTTCGTGTTTGAGGAGACAGGGAGGATCGAAGCCACATCACAGGCCTGTGTTTGTCTCTCAGCGGGGAAAATCCCTGAGCGAGCCCCCCCCGCCCCGTCTGCATTCCTGGGTCTCTCTTTAGACAGACGTGATTTCACACTCATAAATCCCTAAAATGCCCCTCCAGGTTGCTCATGTCCCCGTGCCGAGTTTCACATATTAACACGGACAGGCTCTCCCATTGGCTGAACCTCCGCGACTCTTCTAAGCCCCCTCGAAGTGCTCCTGAGCCCCTGCACCCACCCTGCCGCTTACGCCGTGTCCCCAAATCCGCCCCCCTTAATCGTCCTGAACGTCTTCATATATTTACTTGCTTTATTTACCCGCATTCAAAGGGCAGCGAGTCGGCATGGATATTAGGAGGCTTATTTCGTCACTTTCCCTGTCTGTTTGTTTTTTCTTTCGCTGTTGCTGTTTTCGTTTTTCATTCCCTATATTTTATTTATTTATTTGCATTTTATTTGATTCCTGTTAAGCTGCGAGCACAGCTAGCATAGGCAGGTGAATACAGTCTTGTCTCTGAAAGCAACTATGATTTGTAATACTCCTGGGGAGGAGGCTCTCAGCTCAACCTCCCCCCCCCAGTCAAAGCCTTGATGAATAAACCCCACCCCCCCCCAGCTTAAAATGTGAACGAGTACACAAAAGTCTACGGATACAGGACTACGGACACAGAGCTACGGACACAGAGTTACGGACACAGAGTTACGGACACAGAGCTACGGACACAGAGTTACGGACACAGAGTTACGGACACAGAGCTACAGACACAGAGTTACGGACACAGAGCTACAGACACAGCACAGCAGCAGCTGCTGATCTTGTTACAGTGTATGGCAGCGCTTCATTTTCATGCTTTGACGGCATTTGGGTCCACACTGTTCTAAGAGAGCGCCCCCTAATTAGCAGAAAAGGCCATAAGCTGCTTAATAGCATATTATAAACATATTCCAGATTACTGCCAGTTGTTTTGAATTTTTAGCACCTTAAAGGAAATTTTGCATGATTTTAAGCAGTAAGTAAAACTAAATATTATGCCATTGGTTCCTTGTCTGAATACCGGCCTCTTGTATTTCGACTGCTCCTCTTTTTAGTCTTTGTTTTATGTTATTCTTCATATTACAGGTGTGCAATAGCAACAGGAACTGCCACTGTAACCGTGGGTGGGCCCCCCCGCTCTGCGAGAAGCCGGGTCTGGGGGGCAGCGTGGACAGCGGCCCGGTCCAGTACGACAGTGAGTCTGCGGACCCTTCACGGGGAACGCCCCTTTAGCCTTTAAGAACAGAGCAGGCAATCCGCAGCACGGCCGGTTGTCATGTCAACATCCCGTATCCTCCTGATTGGTCGAGCTGCTCTGAGGTGGACTGTAGCTATTTTGCACCTGAATGCCTCTCTGCGCTGCTCTCAGGTCAGCTGGGCTTGGTGGTGGGGCTGCTCTTCGCATTCCTGGTGCTACTACCCAGTGTCCTCATCCTCTTCTGCTGCTGTAAGGTCAAGACCTCGCCCTACCACAAGTGGATGTCGCAGAGGGAGAAAAATCTCAAAGAGTGTCGGTATGTGGAGCGCCCTCTTCTGCAGTGTCCAGTATTAGCGGTGGGGGGGGGAGTATGTCAATTAATCTGAGAAACACCGTCAAAGACCAGAAGACCAAGTGCTCAAGTCTTGCTGGCTTTGAGCTCTTGGGATGTTTGAGAGTTTGACACCTTGATACATAAAAAGATTATTTCATCATTTTGAAGGGCAAATGTTTTGGAACTCTGCTTTGTTATGAACAATTTATCACAGGGAGCGTGTGGCGGATTGGCAGGCTGCCACACGCCCAGGCCCAGCTCTCGCTCTCCATGTGTTTGCATAGTGTCCCTCCGGGTGCTCGGTCTTTCTCCCCCCGTCCAAACCACTTACAGTGCATTGTCAGGGTACGTGGCTTTCCCTGTGCCTCACGTTATAGGGTGAGGATATCGACAGCCCTGAATTCAGCACCGGTGTTTACCACCACTCAAACCACACATTCATGTGGGGCCCCCAAGGTTTAGGCGCCACCTGTTGGCCACAAACAGGCACTACACTAATGAAGGTAGGGGGCCCAGAAGCAGGAAAGCTGCCCCCGACTGGATAAGCGGGAGATGAGATGTTTAACATGCAGGCACTGCTTCAGCTGCATTCATCCTCATCATCAATGTAAAATGTATTATGAATTTTAATTGCTGGTTGTAGTAATTTTTTTCTCTCTGTTGATTGGAATGTTTAACATGCAGTCGTCACATCCTTCTCATTTTATCCTCCCTTTGGTCGGCTGAACCTGCAGAAAATTCAGAATGGGATGGCGATCAGGGACCGAATACAGACAAGGGGCTGACTGAGCTACACAGTATTTATCATATGCTTCCGCTTGGAAAATTAAATAATCCATATCTTCTTTTTATTATTTTGATGTGGGTAGCACCAGGCGTGGCCACGCCCCCCTCCTGTCACCCCCCTGATCCGCCCTCGCCTCTGACTCGTCTCACTGACGGGACTCGAACATGCACACATGCTGTCGACTATTAGCTTCTGTGTTCATTGGTGTTTGTAGTGCTTAACAGTCTGAGGAACAAAGCCCAAGAATGATAACTAGTTCACAGAAAATTTAAAAGTTTATTTTCTTATTTCTTAATTAGCTTTACAAATCACAAAGATGCATCCATCCATCCATCCATCTTCTAACTGCTTATCTGAGTCAGGGTAATCATCCATCCATCCATCTGTCCATCCATGCATGTTCTAACTGCTTATCTGGGTCAGGGTAATCATCCATCCATCCGTCTGTCCATCCATGCATGTTCTAACTGCTTATCTGAGTCAGGGTAATCATCCATCCATCTGTCCATCCATGCATGTTCTAACTGCTTATCTGGGTCAGGGTAATCATCCATCCATCCGTCTGTCCATCCATGCATGTTCTAACTGCTTATCTGAGTCAGGGTAATCATCCATCCATCTGTCCATCCAT